GCTGTGTACCTGGGCCCTGGACTCCATGCCTTGCAGTCCCTTTATTCAGTTTATATGCCATCCCTCCTACTTTTTTCCCTTCCACATTTGCTGTGTACTTCTGTCCTGTCACCCAGGTTCTTCCTGTCCCTTTGCCCTTAAGCCACAAGAGAAGAGGAAAAACACGGAGCAAATAAGGAAAGTGCTCAGGAAGAGGAGAGAAGGAGAGAATCCTGTGAGGCAGAGGTAGAGAGCAAAAAGAAGCTGAACCTCTTGAGGGAAATTGATGAATTGATGAGTGGCAGCATATATTGTGCTCAGGGATAGGTGAGTCTTTACTGACAAGTCTGGGACCAGCTCTGACAGCAGCCTGGATGTGATTGAGCAGCAGTGATGGGCAGCTGCCAGTGGGGGCCTGGTGTCCTCAGGGTGGGGTCAGGAGTGAGCCTGGCATGAGTTCAGCCCGAGGATGGCCCTGAACCTCCTCTCCCCCTCCTCCTGCCAGCTGAGCCTCCAGCTCTGGTTGCTGCTGTGTGCAGAGGCGCCCTTCACTGTCACCAGCTCCTCTGTCCTTGGCCTGCAGCCAGCATCTGGGGCTGCCAGGTGCTGGAGGAGGCTGAGTGCTCCAAGAGAGCTACAGAGTGGCATCTAATGGTGCCCGGAGCTGCTGCAGGTAGGCAAGACAGAGGCCTGTGCATTGCCTGAAGACAGCTGCCAGGCCCAGCTGTGCTGCTATCTCTTTGTTCAGTGTATCTTTATTTCTCCTCTGACTGCACCAAACTCAAGCTATTATAGCCTGCTCCTCCCATGCAGCATGTGAGCTCAGCTCATGCCTCACGTTGCTTTGCCTTTTGTCAATCTCCAATGCTCCTGGCAGTCCTTGGCCCCCTTACTTTGTTGCACAGACACTGCTGAATGGTATGGACGTGCCCTGGCTAGCCATAGTGTAATTCTGCTCAGCTTTGTGCTGCCTTCATGTTTCATTCTGCTCAGTGCTTCTTTTCAATCTTCCTCCTTCTGCCTTTACTTTCTACTTCAAATTCCTTTTTCTTGTTTTGAGAGGAGTTTCTCATTTGCCCTTCAGTGGACCTGTTGGAGCTCGTTCTATCCTTGGCTGCCGTAGTAATGAATTGTAAAATTTTCTGGTCAGCAATTAGGGTTTTTTTCCTCACTAGTGATGTGCAGAAGCATGGGTTTTAGACACGATCCTGGCAAAAACGATGACTCTATACAGAGCCTTTCGACCGAATTCCATGTGCTCAATCCTAATGGCTGTGGAACTCAGTGAAGACTGTCCCTGCTGGTTTTTAATTTGTGTCCCCTGCCAAAGCGTTGAAGAGCCAGCAGCAGTATTTCAAGAATGGGAAGAAATCTCTTGACAACTGCCCAGAACAAGGAGTAATGATGGCTCAGGGAAAAAGAAGGGGCTGCATCTTGCCAGTTCTGCAGAAATTTGCATACTGCAGCAATCTTGGTTTGATGTCAGGGGAAAAAAAAGGCACGGAACTCTTCTCATTGAAAAGAGAGCATTTTAGATACCCTTGATGTATAAGTAGCTTCTACTTCATCTGTATAACTGGATATGGATTGTTTTCCCTACAAATACTCCAGATTTAGATGTGAGGGGGACCTGTTTTTAATATTCGCATTATGACTTGTCCCCCAGCACTTTGGGCATTCCTGCCTTTTCTCTATGATTTCCATTACAAATCCCCCTCAAATTTTACTCTCATTCGGTAGTATGGTAGTATAACAGGAACTGAGAGCTTCCTATCTTGATTTGAAATACAGCTATATTTAAGAACTTTTTGAGCATTCTTCTGTTTTAGTTGTAGCAGTAGACGATAGCTTAACTTCAGAGAGTGAGATGGGGGCCCAAGAACTCTTAAGGTTGTGCTGCAGATGGCTTATTATAGGAGAAGACCCTGTGACAAAAATATATGCCCACATACTTAGTATGTCTCATCACCATCTCTTATCTAATTCAGCAAAAAGAGGCTAGAGGAACTCAGAAGTGAACGTGGGTGTAAAAGAACAAGAAGAACAAGAAGATAAAAGGGACATAAAGGACATTTGAATCATAGAATCTTTTGAGTTGGAAGGAACCTTTAAAGGCCGTATAGTTCAGCTCCTCTGCAATGAACAGGGACACCTACAGCTCCATCAGGTACTCAGAGCCCCATCCAGCCTGACCTCAAGTGTCTCCAGGGACAGAGAGAGCATCACCACCTCTGTGGGCAGTGTCATAAGTGCCAGGAAAAACTTGTAGTTTATACAAATTGTGAGTGTGACTGCAGGTAAACAAAACTATCGGGTGCTTGAAGGAGATAATCTAGGGGAACCTTTACTTTGTACTCCAGACTCAAGTATTTCTGCTTTAGCCTTCATATCTCAGGTTATTACATTTCCCACATTTTAAGAGCATATTTACGTTTCTGAAATACATGAGTAGCAAAACACGGTGCCCAGGAACCAGGTGTTGAATATCATGGAGTGCACTGAACTCTGCAAGAAGAGTCAGAGCAGCCAGGCGTCCTGCTTAGTATTTCTGGCGGTTACTGTTCGTGCCCAGGAGGTGTCAGTAAGTATCTGTAACAAACCTGACTGGCGCTGGCTGGAGGTCCTGATCTCTTGGCTGCTGCAAACGGTCTGACTTATGGGAAACTCTTGACTAATTTTTCCCTGACAGTGTATTCTGCATCAACACTGACTGCAGATCATGCAGCATGTGTGCCTTGAGGCCGATGAGTCAGGCATCAGCATTTACCCCATCCCAGATCAATGTGGAGACTGTGGCTCTGTACAGAATTTGAAATTGGTCCAATGCAGTGTGAATGGTAATGTTTTTTTCCCATTTGGCTGAATGCCACTTGAACTGCTGTAGGCCTGTTTTCTCCCTAGCAGGGTAAGTTTGATGGGTTATTTAACGTAACTGAATCATTTTTACTTGTAACTAAAAGTCATATTTGACTTTGAGAGAGAAAAATGGTGTCAAAAAGCATTGTTCTGACAAGGTAACACTTCACAAGAAGTCAAGGAAGAAAAGAGTTTCCTTGTTCAGAATTTTAAGGAGATTTTCTTGGACTGAATGAGAAAAGCTGTTTTAATAATAAAGGAAAAAGCTGGTTGGCTGTCCAACAGTGGCAGAATCGAGCTAGTTCTATTAAATGAACAGCAGCAGGATCCATGACTAATATAAAGCTGTGGAGCACTGCGGAGGATCCACTTTCTTTTTCCCAGGTTCTGTAGGAAAAAAGTATGGATTAATGAGTTAAAGGTAAAGGCTTGTTGTAGGCAGTGTAGTGGGGGAGGATGGAGAGTGTTCATACCAGCTATTTAATAAAACAGAGTTTTTGCACCTATCTCATCCAAACGTTATGTTCCTCAGCATCCCAGCTCTCCATGGGTGGATGACAAAGAATCCAGCTGAGTGGGAGGGTTGGGCAGAAGCAGGATCAGGACTAGTAAGGAACTCTGCGTGGAAAGAGCTGGGAATCAGTGGAGCGTATCTTTGCAGTGGCCACCAGACAGGAGCAGGAAGAGCTGGTTTGTGGCATCAGCTGTGGTTAACAAAAGGGAAAAGCAGTGGTCTGTGGAAGCAGACTTGGGGGATTTGGAGGATACTTTAAAGCAATGAGGGTTTGTATTTTTTCCATGAGGTTCTGCTTCCTCCTTATGCTCCTTATGGGATAATGTACTGAATAACTTCCTTAAGAAAGCACACTTATTTTTGTGTCAGTTTCACAGCTTGTCCTTCGCTAAAGGGAAACCCAAAGCATGGCCTTTCTTTGGGCAAAACTACTTTGAGTGATAAATGAGTAGGAAAGCTCTGTGCTGCAGGTCTGTGCTCATTGTTGAGTTTCTAGGAAAGGCTTTGGCCTGCTGAAAAACAGAAGGGCTTATTCAGAGATTGCAGCAAGTGGAGAAAGACTCAGTGAAAAGCAATATTATATCCTTAATGCCCTGTCTGAGCAGCATAAGACACTTGTTTGAAATATATGTATATATATATATTGATTGATTTGTACTCCATTATGTGCTACTCCCTTATTTGCCTATGCTATGCTTTGAGTCCAAGCTGGTGAGAAAAGTCCTGTTAACTCTGCTGTGGCACAAGTGATGCCCAGGTTTGATATCAGAATCAAATTAGGACTGGTCCTGTGAGTAAACAGGATTTATGCTGTGTACTACAGCATCTCCTATTGCTGAGCATTGGGTCAGGAGAACTGCCCTGTTACAAAGCATTCAACTCCATGGTTACTTAGGTCTCATGATGTTTGAATAAAGATGTTTGGATCAGGAAGTCTTTCAGGTAGGAGCTCTTCTTGACTTTGCTGCCTATGACTTTCATGTCATATGTAATGAAGATGGATGTAAAGAAACAAGGAAGGAAAGTAGTCCTCATTAAATATTCTCAGTACTTTGAGCATGTTCTTAACAAAGAACAAACTAAGACTAGATTGATTTTCAGCCTGTGTCACGAGTTATACAAGTGTATTCAGTGTTTGTTTGCTCTCTCGCTTTGTTTCCTTCATATGTACAAGGTGTCAAAAATGTTGTACAAATATATAGGGAAATGTTGTAATGTTATCACAAGAAATTACTTGGAAATAGAAAACAATAGAAGAAAATAATTAATCAAATTATGCAGAACATTCGTGGAAAAGCTGGATTTGAGGTTAGAATCTCATGTGGAGTAAAATGGCGTAATAAAGCTATGGTGAGTTGTAGTACCAAATAGGAAGGCCGTAGAATTATGGAACGGTTTGAGTTGGAGGGGACCTTAAAGATGAAGTGGTTCCAACCCCGCTGCCATGGGCAGGGGCACCTTCCATTAGATCAGCTGCTCAAAATCTCATCTGGCCTGGCCTTGAACACTTCCAGATGATTGTTAGAGCTCCTTTATCTTGCGTATACAGGATCTGGATGTTTTTTAGTGAGTGATGTGCCAATGTTTACTGACCAGTTTGTCCCATGATATAAAATTGCTCTCTAATCTATTTACAATCTTTCTTTCACAGGAGGAAGAGGGAAGGATGGAGCACCAATTATTACCTTCCCAGAGTTTGCAGGATTCAGTGAAATACCCGATGAGGATTTTCTGAATGTGGTCACGTACCTAACCAGCATTCCCAGGTAAGACTAAGCATAAGTGCCAGTTTATTTCCAAGAGAGCTTTGCTTCTTCAATGGCTCACTACTCTTAGTGGTGCTACCAGTATGTGCCAGCAATTCTGCATCCATCCAGCCAGGATGATACAAATGATTGTATGCAAGAAGCCCTGGGAACCACTTACATCATTTGCATGGGAAAGAAATCTACACACAAAACAGATTTTCTGTTCAGGGCTTTAACTGGGTGAGAGGATGCAAAGATCTGAAAGGTAGCCTTAAAAGTAGCAGATCGAAATTGGGGCTATTTGTGACAACACTTGGGGACACTAAATTTAACAAGTGAAGGGTTGCATCTAGAAAGAGCTAAGCTTACATAGGGCCTGTTACTGTTTGTTCTGTGTGTATCTGTGTGAGAAGAGAGGAGAGCCTTTGTTCAAGCAACAGGCACTGTAGAAAGGCATATAATGTTAATCTATCTCATGTCTCTGTCCTTCAAAGAAGAGATTTCTTGACATTGCCCAAGGAATACACCAAGCTCTGACTGGGCAGGCTAGCTTCGCTTGAACAATTGTTAATACCAAATGTTGGTGAAAATGCATCTGATGAGAATCTCTCTCCTTCCGCCCCAGGAAATGGAAGTGCAAAGGTTTTTTGTTTTTGTTTTCTTTGTATAAACATACAGTTTATTTCATGACAGCCTACAAGCCAGGGCTTGGAATTGCATAGGATATATAGGCAGATGAGCAAAGTTAACAGCACAGGCACCATGCTCTAAGTTTACCAAGTGTCATACAGGCAGGGCTGCAGAAGATGGGAAATGTTGTTGGGAATGAGAATCTGTGACCTTGTGGTTGGCTGGCTTAGGGACATGTCAAACAAGCTGAGGGCTGTGTGTGGGTTGTGTTCTCGGGAGCAGACATATTGAGAGCCTTATCATAGTGAAAGAATGAAAAATAGCAGAGATACTGCTCTCATGGAACAACTACCAGCGAGTCACTGAAGGAAGGTGGGAATGAGAGGTGGGTGCCTTGTTGACAGGGTTCTGGCAGCACCTTGTGCTTTCTGGTGCTTTGTTTATTGGGAATCTGCTCTACTAGGATGTTTTCTTTGCTGTTTGCCTGCAGCTGTGCAAGTGATTAAAACAAACTCACTTCTACTACTCTGAGGAAACAGGCTAAGGCATGGCTGCTGAATTACTTTTTGTTTATTCAAAAAGGGAGCTTAATATTTTTGCAGTCCCCTGATCCTGTCTCTGGACCATGGCTGTTAGTGCTAGTTAGAAGCACAGCAGGGATTTATTATTTCCTGTGGTCTCATATATAAAGGTGCTTAGAGGATGATGAGGGGAAAACGTGCCTCCTTCAAGTTTAGGTAAGAAGTTTTCCAGCTCCACCTACATGTGTTTCTCCTATGGAGTTGCCAAAGCAAGCTGAGAGAAACCACACACTGTGAGTTTAACAGCTTCATTGTTTCACTGAACTCTGCAGGTCCTTTGTTCTATCAGGAGAAACTCTTTTTATTTCTTTACTAGCTTTATAATTGGATCACCATCTTCAGGGATTAATAAAGCAGCAATAGTAGCTAGTTTGCTGATTCTTTGTATTTGATATGCTACAGCGATTCCCAGTAGCGTCAGCGACAGGCTGGAATGTGAACCAACACAGCGCATTGATCTCACTCTTAGGTTCAATCAGAGATCACACAGTCAGGATCACACCAGTTATCCAAGGGGTTTTCTGGTTTTTGTTGTAGTGCATTTAGAAAGATTGACTGTACATTTCTTTATTTTCTATTTGAAACTTGTCATCTTTTGTGTAGAATTGAGGGATGAAGGTATTAATTTAGAAGAGGAAGAACCTGAGTGGCAAGCTTTGGTTGGGTGACTTATGGCATAGTTCTAAGAACTCAAATCTTCGTGTGCGTAAATAGTGAACCTGTTTGGGTGCAGCAGAGCTTTGTTAATCTGCAGTTGGTTGATACATGCGCAGAGAGTGAGTCCTTCCTTCATCTTAGCAGGCTGCAAAGGGACTACATTTGTTACTTTATTCAATGCTACTGTATGATGTGTACTGTGACAGCTTTCTGGTACATGTGATCTTGCTGCTAGTACTTCACATTTTGTTTTATTCTTCAGGAGGATGTTTAAGTACCAAATAACAGGATAAAGGTTAGAGAATAATGTCAAACTCTAGAAGAGTTACAGAGGGTATGGTCATAAATCAGGTAGGATGAAGTATCATTTGAAGAGCAGTTCCCCTAGTTTAGGGTAGAAGGTAGTTCCATGTTCATAGCTCCATAAGCCAGAGAAATTGGTGTAGTTTTTCAGACAGCTCTAGAGAGAATATTTGTCTCTTGTAGTGTCTGTATCTCTGTATCCTGCAGAATAAGATTTATTGTTCAGGTAAGGTCTGTGGTCACAAATGACATCATTCAGTGAGTTAGTAACTTCCTAAGTTCCTCTGGAATGGCTGATCTTCAAAGCCCATATGGCAAAACATTAAAAAGATAAGGGTGGATAACAAGTGTTGTTATTTGGATGCACAGGCATTACCTTGTCTTTGAAGCTGCTGAGTAAGTTTGCTTTTTCAGCCGTGGCATAATGCAGTATTTTGAGGTGTGCTGTAAGCAAACATAGCATTTCTAGGCTTTAAAATATGAACTGCTTTCAAGGATGGCAGATCAGCCCCGTGAGACTTTTGTAATCTTATTAATTTTCCTTCTACTTCAAAACCTGGTCATGAGAGTGCCCCACAGAAGGGGCCTGTGCACACACATGCATAAACATTGGATGGTATGGCATATGCAAATACATGTCTCTATATGTGGATGCTTATAGTAGATATCTGTAGTAGGCCCTTTTTTGCTCACTTTACAGCCAGAACTCCATTCTCTTTCAACTAAAGCAGACTGCTTTGATAAACAGATGCTCTCCTCTCATTCCCAAAGAGGTCAGGAAATTCGGCACCTTCGGGCCTTCTCAAATCAGTGTACAAGGGCTAACCTGAATTCAGAGCTGGGGATGGAGCAGCTTACTGAATTACAAACATTTCATTCGGGGAAAGGGACCTTACTTGCCAGCCGTGTATTACAGTACTGTCACTGAGAAATCATTGACAGTGTCTGTGTTTTTAGGCAAACTGCCTTTTTCTGGATACGTGTGTGAATGGGGTCTCAGCTGGACATCAGCTTGCACTGACGCTGCCATTTTGGCAAGGTTCCGTCCCTCAGCCACTTGCTTGTGTGCATCCCTTAGTATTCAGACCTTGGCATGGCCTTTCTTTTTGGTGTGCTGACTGAAACAAGATCACTTGCTGACACTCTCTGTTTCCCTGGCTAAACTTAGGTCTTAAATCAGCCCTGTCTAGTCAAAAAAAAAACAAAAAAAAGCACTGCAGAAGGCTGAGGTCCAGCTGTGTACCAGCTTCACAAGCCCATTTTCAGTTTTGTTTGTGTTCAGAGGTCCATCTCTTGTCAGGACCTTCTTCATGTTGCATCAGCCACCTGTAGCCATTGGGATTTACAACACACAGTCTGCCAGAATGATCCTGGGTGATGTAGACAACCCCTCACGTTTCTTCTGTGATCTGCTCTCCTTTAGATCGTGTGATAGGGTTGCATGCACACAAGTTATAGTTCTGCTTTCCTTTGATATTTCCTTGTATTTAAATCCAAGAATAACTCCAGTATATCAGTACCTACTTCACCTTCTATTTCCTCAGCCTGTCTCTTTAACTGACCTGCAGTGCTGTGTGATTTGCAGTGGCAACTGGTGAGCAGTGCTTCTATTCCCATATGTTCATTATTCCCCAGCCCTCCCCTATGACTGTTCTTGCCAAGCCTCATTCCATGAGAAAATTCCTTTTCTGCTCCTCTTGTATTTTCTTGTCTGTATCTATATTTCATAAGCTCTTATCTATGAAATTAATTTTCGTTATTGTAACTGATGCCTGGATGCTTTTGTGCTGTTACAAATCCCTGTGGCAGAAGAACATTCAAAAAAATGAACTGCTAGATCATGGGAAGGTACTTGAGAAAAGACAAACGTCTCTCTTCTAAGTGATTTATTCTCTATGTGTTTGAGGGACTGTTAAAAATGAAACCTAAGAGTTAGTTCAGAGACACAGAGGCAAGTTTTACTTGGCACAAATACTTCTGTGTTTGTTTAAATCACAGTTATTGCCTTTGGCAGATGCTGTCTTGTCAGTCACTTCCTTTGCAGTTTGCTTACCAAGGTGTGATTGTAAGGGTCTGATTCTGAATTCTTCTAGGCCTGCAACCCTCTGTGTGCAAACATTCCTTTTAGAAAGCCCTTAGCCAGTCTCTCAAACCAGGCAGATGGGCAAAACAGGGCAATTTCTATGTGCAGGCAGCTTGTGTGAATTGGTGCATATGGACAGAGTTACTTGTGGCTTAGCTATGAATTTTATAAACAGCTTTTTCTAGTATTTATTAATATGCTTTAGCTGGATAATATTTTTCTTTAGACCAATATCAGCATTTTGTTATCTTCAGCTAAATATGCCTATTTTGTTGGTCATTTTGCTGTAAATCACTGACTTTAATGGAATTGCCTCAGATTTGAGCCTGGCTCATACATCCAATTATTGTCTGAGAGATATTCAGCAGTTGCAAATTGATTCTGTGTGTCTGAGCAGTGAAGACTTAATTAGGTGCTGATTACAGTAATACATTCTCTTTTACTTTAAAGTAGAGGTCATATTTTGGTGATCCATTGATTCATTTGAAATTGTCCTCTCAATTTCTGTTCTTCTCACCCTGACACGATCCTCAAAGATTGGCACGGCTATCAAAAATATAAAAGGCTAGTAAAGGGTGAAGTTCATCCCATCCCACTTTGGTTCTGCCTGAGGCTTTTGATTTTCAACTTCTTAAAGAATTTGCTGATTTTTTGAGTTACAACCAAAATTCCTGAAACATTATCTATGAGACAGCAGCATCAGCGGTCGAGGCAGAGGCAAAACACCGGAGCTTCTACAAGTCTCCAGTGGGAGATGGGAAGCCTGTCCAGAGGTGCTGCCTGGTGGGCTGGGGGCTGAGGGTCATTTGCCTGGGCCTTCCATACCCTCCAGATGTCCAAAGCAATCAGCATTTGTTAAAAAACAATGCAATTTTTAAGTAGCATTGGAAACTCCCAGGCTGCGAGTAGTTTCTCACACCCTTTCTGTAACAATCTGCAATACACAAAATTTCTTTGGTGCCACCTTCTGAATCTTTTTTTTTTTTGTCTAATAATCTAAAGCAAGCACATATATATCACACTGTGCTTTTTTTTTTTTAAACTTTAGAACTCCGATTTGTCTACTGAAGAATATTTGTATATATAAAAAGGAATAAGCTGCTGAATTATCATCTCTGCTTTAGAAGCACTTCTGCAGCTACATTTTCTGTTCTCTGTGTAAAGAGCTGCATATTGCACTGATTGAGAGGAAAGGTCATCTATTGTCTTTGAATTTTATAGTTCCCAGAGGAATTCTGTAAAAAAAATCAGTGTGCACTTCAGCAAATGTTTGTAGTGCTGTTAAGAACCACTGGGAGCACTTGCATGGCATCCCAGACTTGCACAGAACTTTTGCTTCTTGGCTGCTGATTTTGATCCTGCAGATCTGCAGCAGAAGCTCTGTTGATATTGTTGATGCTCCTTGGTGGATTATTGACATGAGTTTGCTCAAAATAACCCAATAAAATGGTGTTCTTGGTATGTAGCTTGTATGTATGATGGAAAAGGGATAAAGGAAACGCTTTATATAACTGATCTTGACCTTAATCCGTAATTAGATATTTAATTGTAGTGTCTTCTGATTATGGCAACACTTACACTCTTTGCCTGCCTCTTTCTTGTATAGAGATGATTGTTATAAGGAAGTTCCTGGACATTTTTCTTAGTGTTTTTGTAGATTCCCAGGATTTCTCTCCAACTCTGAGGACAACTGGAAAGCAGAGAATAGAACCCCTGAGTCCAGCACACCAGAGAGGGATTTCTGAGGGAGGGGGAGGGGGATATTTTTGAGGTTTACACACATGGGATGGAGCATGAAATCAGTCCCTCACAGAGCCTCCTTGAAAAGTCCTGAGAAGGAGCAGTAGCTTATTTTAGCCAACACATTGAAGTGGTACTTGCAACCCTAGAACCAGTCTGCAGGTGGGTGAGATATAAAACTTCAAATCCTGCTTTGTCCACCAAAACACCTGGGTCGTGTGCGAAGGCAAGGTGGTGGCTATGGGGATATACTGACACCATGGAGCTGAGTGCCTCTGTCAGACGTCAGCACACTTGGAGAATGAAGGCTGTAGTGGGATGCCTAATTTGGAGAGAAAGCAAGATCTGAGATTTTTGCCTTCAGTGTAGCACAGTATAATTTGTGATCCTGAACTATTCTTATCATTTAGACTTGGCAGCAATGTGGATAGCAGCTGAGAGATTTAGCGAATAAAATATTCATGTTTGGTGTAAGCTGCTAGCCTGACACTGGAAACAGAAAATTTGCTGGCTTCTGTGTTCATGTGGATTTCTGCCGAATATTCTCTCCACTGTACACTGCATTTTTATAATGGACTTGGAGGATGATCCAACAGACCTGAATCTTACTGCAGTACATTGCATTGAAATGGGAGTATCTTCATGTAACCTAGCATATTTATTTCTTCTGTTGTGCAGTCTGGAGGCTGCCAGCATTGGATTCATCATCATCATAGACAGACGACGAGACAAATGGAGCGCAGTCAAGGCATCCCTGACACGGATAGCAGTAAGTGCCTGTCTTTGTTATTTATCGTCTAGAAATTCAAATTGTCTGCTGAACCTTCAGGACAAGATGACAAGATGAAGTCCCATGTGTGCATTTTTAGTTCCTTTTCTTTTTTTTTTTTTTTTTGGCTGTGGATGCAGATTCTCTCCAGCCCCAAAGCTTTTGAGTTTTAAATAGGAGAGGGAGGAAGCTGCAGTAACAGAAAACATGGTCTTGTTTACTGCTGAATTAGCACAGATTCCGTATGTGCTGGATTGACTGCAGTATGAATTCTAGTAATTTGTAGCTGTTTCCAGAAGAGTCTAACAGAGGAGCCCTTCTGTGCATTGTGAGGAGTGACTTTGCGGCCCGCTTGTGAAGGGAGCAGATCCCAGTAAATCTGTGTTCATGTGGCAGTAAGTGATCTGTTAGAAACTATCAATAGCTTATTATATCTCATTTATGAAAGTGAGTTAAGACACTGTTTTTCAGTGGTAATAAAAGCAGCTGTTCTAAAGCATCTATTATCTGGAACATATACTGTGTGAGGTGCAGGTGCTTAGAGGCTAGGGATCAAGAGATGACTGTTGTTTTTTAGCTGCCCTCTTCTTGTTCTTTTTTTATGCTTGATGAGCTCAGAGGAGGAGTGTGTGGGATATGTAGGCTGGATGTTGAAGGCAGGGCCATGTCTGATGAATGTGTTGAATGCCTGTGCGTGGGAGAAACACATGTGAGGTTAGAAAGATTAAAAATCCTCTTTGGAGTGAATAGATAGGTCAGTCTGAAGAATTCATTTATGCCACCTTTTTCTTTCACCAAGTCCAATGTGGGCAGCCGTTTTTTGTAAGTAGTGAATTTTACCCTCGAAAGGCTGAACCAAAAAATAAAATAAATAAAATAAAAAACGTGACCCATGGTGTGGTAGTGCAAAGGGGCCTTGGTGCGCTTCAAGTATGGCTGCACAAGTGAAGAAACTTCAGAGCTCTGTACTAAATCCCTGCCAGAAATCTATATATGACTGGGCAGTAAAATCCCCAGGCCAGTGTTTCTGTTGGCTTTGGAGACTGACGTTGGACATGTGCTGAATGGACCAGTTGATGTCATTAGCAGCTGGACTGGCCAAGGTTCAGTGTGTCTTCCCCACTTTACTCCCTTAGGAAACACTTGGCTGAAAATTCCCTTGGCCTTTCTTCAAGGCAGAGATTTGCTTTCTAATAATTTTATGTTTCTTGCAGGGAGCATTTCCAGGAAACCTGCAGCTGGTGTTTGTCCTGCGTCCCTCACGCTTTATCCAAAGGGCAATTGCTGACATTGGCATTAAACTCTATCGAGATGACTTTAAAATGAAGGTACCGGTAAGCATGGATTTTTTTGGTCCATGTGTTTGCCTTATCTCCACATCTGCAGCTCTTATATGTCAGCAATTTCTCATAACCGAATAATTATAATTTGATTGCAAGTGGCAACTGGCGACTGTGATCTTGGGTCTGTGTGGTATATATAAGGTCAATAAAGCCTAAACTGAAACCCCAGCGAGATCAACAAGCTTTGAGAGGCACGTAGACACATTTACCTGGATCAGATAAGTTGTTTCTTGTTTCATTTCAGTGGTTGAAACATCCTTGGAAAGGGCAGACCTTTTTGTATGTATACTAATAGTATCTTTAAATTGTTTTTGTGGAATTTTCTACAATCAGTTGCAGGAATGCCAAAGAGTAAATTACCAGTAGATGCCTCACAGGATTATAATGGATGTGTTCCCATGTGAAATATCAGTCTAGATATAGAATGTGACTCAGTTTACATAGTGACTTTTTAACTCAGTAGAGCTGCTCCCCTGACGCAAAGGTAGACCTCCTCACTCCAGGCAAACATAGGTTTGCACTTCTGAGCAGTGTAAGCCAAGGGCAAATTCTGCACTATGGACTGCTGATATAATAGTGCCCTGTTAAGTGCCTGCTGGCATTGCTTGTTTCTAGTGCCTTTATGATCTTCAAGATTAAGAGTATGATATTTAGTACTTCTGATATGCTGCAGGTTGATGAGAATGTGATTTAAAGCAGGCTATAAATCCTGAAAGAGTTTGACATTATTCTATGAGAGCCCTTTTTGGAGTTGTTCCTAGCTGTGTGTTTCAAACTGTTTTATAAATACAATTGAATGATGATTGTTAATGATATTTCATCCTGGAACTTACTCGTACTGTACTCCACAATGACTTTACTGGAGTGATTTCATATGATTGTTTTGGATTTTAATTGTGGCTTTAAATCATTTTACAAAAGACCCATGGTTCTGTTCCAATCATTGCTATGTTTATCAGTACCTAGGTTTAAAGTTCCTGTGCTTCCTGCTTCTACTGTAATAAGAGACAGCAGACTAACAGTACAGAAAACAAACCATGAGTTCATTCTGCTAAATTATGTTAATTGTGACACTGACTGTAGTTCAGTGCAGGTGGCTTTTTGGTTATTAAAAAAGCAAATTTCATGTAAAAATTAGGCTTGGTTACAAAACAAAATCTTCTAATTTTATAGCACTTTAGAAAACGTATGTTCCTGTACTAAATAAGCCATGGTGTGTTACCTTAGCAACTGTTATACCAGAGATTGTACTTCTAGCAATCTATCTGATGATGGTGTTGCATTTCAAATCCTATTTAAAACTGTCACAGTTGGAACAGAGGTTAATGGTAGGCAGGGATTAGGCACTGCTTTAAGTGTTAAACGATAACTTACCTTTCCTACATGCAGAGCAAGATACGTATTTTGGTTGAAGTCCTTTTGGACATTCAGAATTTTGAGCTAACCTGGGTATGTCCACATATGTCTTAGAGAGCAGTCTTACAAAAACTAAGAGTTCTTTTGATGGAGGTTTATGTGAGCATTATACATCCCATGCTTTTGCTTTTCAGGCATAAAGAAAATGGCTGCTTCCTTGGCCTAGCAAGGGGCAACATGATATCAAATCATGGGTAGTTCAAGAATGGCCATTTGCTTATAGAAGCCAAAATCTAAAGGAAAAAAAGCTGTGGCAATTATATGAAGAAATACATTATGAGAAATTACTGACAATGGTGGAAGTGCACCGTGGTTATGTGTGTTTAAGGCAAACCCAGATCCTAGGAGCAGTGACTGAAGGACTCATTATTTCTCTCTGTCCATTGTTTTTGGATCTGTTTCAGATCATCATGCTAAATTCTGTCTCTGATCTTCACGGCTATATTGATAAATGTCAGCTGACCCGGGAGCTGGGAGGAACCCTGGAGTATGGCCACAGTCAGTGGATACATCACCGAACTGTGAGTGCTGGTGCTGCTCTCACACATGACTATACCTGTACCCAGATGATGAATGTAAAGCTACAGTTAAGTAGAAATTCTGCAGCTGCACTTCAGCCTACAGATTTTACTAGAGGCACATGGAAAGAGGAGATCCATTACTCAAACAGAGAAAATTCCCTCAAAGTCTGTAGTAGAAGTAGTAGTTTATATCTCACTATTGACTGGACTAGGTCCTACAATGTTGTATTATTATTACTCAGCTGAACTTCCCTCATCCTTAGCTTTTGAATAATTGATGAGATTCATAGGCCTTCAGCTCATGGCTGCAGTTGGACATATGCTTTAGCACTGTTTGGAATGAAAGGTCAAGACTGTCACGTTAGTGGGCAATTGTATCCATGTTTTTAAGTGAAGAAAAATACTCATAACACTGGATTTTATTTCCCTTTGTTTTCATTTCTGAGTAATGTAAATATACACTCCAGATGAATCATATTTTGAATAACTCAAGAACAATTAATAATTGTAGGAAGGCTGGAAAACTTTCTCTTCTGTTGCCTTTTAAGAAACTTGTTACAGGTTTGATTATTTGTTCCCTTTTTGGGTTGGTTAATATATTTCAGTGGCTGCTTCGAAACAGTGCAAACATTTCATTGTGGCTCACAGAAGAGCCATATTATGATGTTTAAAAAAAAAAAGCAGACCCCAGACTTTGGCATGTAAACTGCTGAAATGCTGTCTATTCCTTTGTTTTATTATTAATTTATTCCACTATTCCATCTAAGTGGAGGGGTGCAAAGCTGTGTCCTAGAAGATGAACAAATTTTCCCGAGGCTGTGTGCAATGTTTCCATCTGTCTTTGTGGGTCCACTTGCAAAACTGATATGTTTAGAGCTCACATCTAAGGAGGCCCAATGTTTTGCTGTGTTCTCAGAAGCCTTAGGTGTAAGTATTGTTGCTGACCTGCAGCTAGGTCTAACATTCAGAAAAGGCTTTTCTGTGGTAGCTTGGAAGTAGTCTAAACAACTTTCACCGAGCTTAGAGACTTGAAGACAAAACCACAGTCAGAACTTGGGAATATGAAACAATTTATTACTCAAACACACAAGAATGAGTGGAGCCATGTGTGCAACTAAATGAAACACTGATGTGCTCACGGTGCTTGTGGAATCAGTTAGCCAGGGAATCTTTGCTGGGTGAGAGATTGCCATCAAGGAAGTGTTGGCCTATATGGCAGCTTGAGAAAGCCTGACCTTCAGTCTTGCAGGTGCAGTGTCTTCATCACACTGTCTGCTTATCTTAGTGTTCTCAGGTCTTGGTCTGCCAAATCTTGCCTACCAGGGTTGTGGATTTCTTTTTTTTTCTGTTTTCTTCTTTTATTTTTTAATATTTTTATGTTTTTATCTAAAACATTTTTAAAGTGTTCCTAAATGGTATTGACTCAACAATCTCACCACATTTTTCTTTGTTTCTGCTTTCTTATCTTAAACAGCTAGGAGTCTGTGAGCTTTCTTGCTCACAGAGTACGCTAGTCTCTTAGTAAATAGCCCTTGATTATGGATGGCTTTGTCTGTGTTGCAGTCAGAAGAGCAGCATCTTAGCCAACTTTAATGCAGTAGTTTCACTGCAGAGAACATGTCACAGCTGCTAAGAACTGAGCCAGATTGTACATCAGTCTATACTGCTGCTGCTGAAAACAGACCTGAATTTTCAAGGGGCAAAGACGATGGCTATGAACTTGCCTAGCATTGCCTCATCTGGGGCATGCTTTATGATCACATAAAGTGGAATGTACTTTATCACTGCACCTTTTGAATAATAATCTACCTTCAGTTTGTTTTTCACAGAGCACACTGCAAATTTTCGACTGAAGTAGTTGCAAATTAGGAATTCCGATCATTGCTAAAAAAGGGAATACAGCTTGCAATAGCTGTGTAACATTTGATTGGGAATAAGAGCATCTTCAGTACTATTTTGTGCCTCAGAACATTGTTTTGTTCTGATAAAAAAATGTAATGAATAAAGACCTACGTGTAACAGTACAGTCTTTGATTATCCTAGAGAAACCGGGGCACAATCACAAAAAAATATCCTGTGCAGCTCTTGCTACAAGATACAAAGGTTTTAGTTGCATCTCATAAGTCTGACCAGTATATTCTACTCTGAAAAGGCAGCATTCTTATGAAGCCTTTCTCACTTTTACTTTCTGCAATAAAACCACAGTTTGTCAAAATTTAAGTTGGTGCACCCACGTTAAAGGTGTTCAAGGCCAGATTGGGTGGGGCCCTGGGCAGCCTGGTCTAGTACTAAATGGGGGGGTTGGTGGCCCTGCCTGTGGCAGAGGAGTTTGGAGATTCATGATCCTTGAGATCCCTGCCAATCCTGGCCATTCTGTGATTCTGTAAAGAAGTGATGCTCCAATGAATTTAATGAATTATATTTGTTGAGAGTTCTTGTATTGCTGTGGTAATAGGGCCAGATGGGATGAAGTGACTGGAATGCATCACATACAGGTAGGCAGAACAAAGATGCACAGTTTGAGAAGCCTACAGGGAGATGGATTGCTGCTGAGTGAACAGTGGCTGTATAAACATAAAAGAAAAAGGCTTTGGCATATGTCCTTGTGGCATCTCCTTAACTTAAATAAAGCCTTAATTAAAATCCTTAAACACAACAAAGACTTCCAGCAAGCATGGGCAAAGGATCTGAAACTCCCATCTGGGCTTTGAAGCTGATGTCCTCTGTGGTTTCATTATGTCTCTTAAGCTCTGGAAGTTCCCCATCTGGTTCATGGATATGGTAAAACCTGTAGTCTTGTGAAAAGATCCTTTGTGGCACAGGATTCAACCAGTAACTTCCATCACATCCGCTGAAAAAAGGCAAATAGCCAGCTTTACGGGCACTGCAGCAATAATGTGTTTGAAGAACTGAGATAGCATGCTAGTGGTAAGTAAGCAGTTTGTGACTCTGTTCTTCCACCATTCCAGGCTATTGAAAACTTTGCAATGACAGTGAAAACAACAGCACAGATGCTACAGACCTTTGGAACGGATTTAGCAGAGACTGAACTTCCCAATGATGTGCAGTGTACAGAGGAGCTCCTATCTGCACACACTGACCACCATAGCAAGCTCAAGGTGAATGGTGTCTTGTGACAACTCAATCTGTGTAATAGATGATTTTTAATTCAGCAAGTTTTTCTGCCGTCATTTGAGATTCTATCATCTCAAAACTACTGAATAGGAGAAGAAAACTGGATTCAGGAAGTTGATTCCGTGCAGCTATGGAAAAGGACTCCACAGGTTCAGGAATGATAGAACAGGGAAGTGTCACTGCTGCTATATAGGAGGGTATAATGAGAGCATGGGCTCCTGATAATGTTTTCTTCAGAAAGGATGAACTCATACTGGAGCAGATGTAGAGAACATCTGTAAGGATAATCTAGGAATAGATAGTGGTCTGTTTAATTGATGACTAAAATATTACAGAATGGATTAAAAGCATTAAAAAGAGGCTAGTGCCTGTTTAGCTTTGCAGAGTAAGATTCAAAAGAAAATGTTATTGCTGTCAATAAACATATTAGGTTAAACACAAAAGGAAATTTATTATTTTAGCACAAGTACAGAAATGACCATTAGCTTCAATTGGGAATGAAGAACAGAGTTCTACCCATAAAAAACAGTAAGGGCCTGGAGCTTTCCTCCTATAGAAGAAGGGTAGTAAACAACTTTTTTTTTAGTTTGGGATGGCATTTAAATGGCTTTTTTTAATGATCGATGAAGTTGCCTTTAGTAGCAGTTCTGTCCCAGCCATGTGTTACTGTTGTGTTAAACAGCAGGACTTGCAGCCATTCCGATTCTTTCTAATAATTGCCTTCAGAACCTAAGGAATTGCCATGACTTGTGAAAAGCTCTTACAGTACCAAAGAAAGAATACTCAGAATTCTTCAGGCAGTCAGGAACTGCCTTGCCTCAATTGCTTTTGGTCAAAAGATAATGGTTTCTCCCACATGTTGGAGCCTGGCTCTTAATGCCAGTTTCCTCTTTGATTACATTTTTATTGTAACTTTACTCATGCTCTAAAGCTTCTTCTGCAGCTCTAAAGCTGCTGCATAAAGCATCCCCTAGCTCTTTGGCTATGTCTTTGCTACTCTTTCCCATAAAAGCTGGCAGAACAGTGCAGGTAATACAATGGCAAAAGGCACCATTGTTAATCTTCCCTCAGTGGGAGAGCTGTGCAGCTTTGTGTAGCAGCAGGAAGGGTTCCTGAAGAAAGTTTTTGATAAGTGTTTCTATACTGGTGTCTTGGGGGCTTTGCCACTCAGAGCAATGTGGAGGAAGCAAATATGTTAATAGAAAATCTGTGTGAAGGATTCAGTTGTGAGAAAATGAATTTTTTGCTGACTTGCAGAATCAATGAATCTGCTCTTTGCTGTCTTTTTCTCCTCTCATGGTCTCCTTTCAATTGGCAGGCTGTGGCTTATCATCTCATAATGTTGTTTAAAGAAATTCCATTAGGAAGTGTGATGTGGCTGGCTGAACAATTGACAGCACATGTAATTTGTGTTAGAATATTTTATTCTGAAAGTTTCCTGGTCAGAAATGCAATGTGCTCAGAAATTATGCAATATTCTTTTTCTCAGAAATATATTTACTGCTCAAAATGAACAGGTTTATTCTCTGCATTCATAGAAAGACATGTCATTATTGGTAAGCACTGGTGTGTTTTTGTTCCTAGTATCTGCTACCTACAGAAGTATCCTCCTTTAGCATTACTGTGTTGTCCACCTAAGAGATGGGAACGTTCTTAGAATATGTGCATACAATTTGTTTGTTCGTTGTTCCTCAGGATGAGCTGAAACTAGCTGTGAAGCAGGGGGCCACATTACTGACGTGCATTAGGGAGCCAGTCACCCGAAGTGCCAACAGCAAACTCAGTCCTGATGAACTGGAAAATGTGGCAACAGTGGAAAGGTTGGTGCAGATTGACTACCTTGCACAAGTTGCTAATTAGTTCCTAAGAAATGCAAATGTCATTTATGTCCTTTCTTAAATTATTCGAATATAGATACTATAAATTCCCACTGTTTAGTTACTCAGGGTTTATTGGATACATGAGTAAGTAGGACTTTGAGGAAGTTACTGGATTAAACTAGAAAAGTATGTTCAAACAAGTCCTGAATTTCGTGGTAATTTTTGGTTGGCCCACTACCTTCCCAATGGAAGGTTTGATGTGGGACTTATTTTCCCCATAACATCTTCCATGTTTCTGTGCCTAGTTAAAACGTGACATCTGAATCCGTGTGATCTGAAAGAGTATGTGCTTGTGCATGTCTGTGGAAACACTGGAGGAGGATCAGATGTGGATGATACTCTGAAATACGCACCTTTGCAGATTTATAAAGAGAGTAATTACTGTTCCTTCCTACAATGCTGGTTGTTACAGATTTTAGTCACTGCTTACAAGTTTCTGCTGTTCCATGTAATGCAGTAGATAGAGAAATGTCATGCTAGTTTCAGTGTGTCTGCATTCAATGAGAACAAAGCTGCCAAATGTCAAACTGATATTTTTTACTGGCTACTTTGAAATCCTTTAATCAGTGTTCCTTTAATTAATGAAGGAATTTGTAAATTCATCTTGGATTCAAAAAGTAGCTTTGATTAGAATGAGATTTTTCGTTGATAGATTGAGAACAGAACTTGTTTCTGACTACAGTGTCAGGAACAGTGTCAGCTATTGATATTTGCCCTGATTACTTGGTTCTAGCATTCACTGCATTTGCCTGGTCCCCTGCCTGCCTGAAGGGTGGCCAGATATTAAAAAATAGGATATTCAGAGAAGAATATTTTTTCATTTTTTCATTTTTTCCCTTTTCTCTTGCTATTTAAACTGTTCTACTTTGTAATATACATAATAGATCATTGAGGGACTGTGAGAATGACTCACTAGTGTGCTGTTGGACACTTCACTTGATACTGATTTCTTTGTGAATAAATGTTTTGTTATTTACATGAAGTAAAACACTATCAATGGGAGGCATTATGAGCTTCTAATTCATTGTGCTTAGGAGAGATGTATAAGGAAAAATGATTCAGTTGTTGCCTACTTCTGATGGGTGAAAAAAAAAACAACTTGTAGAGTTCTGCTTTAAGCATTCCATAAATTAACAATTGCATTGTATTCAATCTGTATTAGCCTGGAGCTAATTGTCTTTGAGTGTTTAGGTGGAAGCTGGGGAGAGACAGCTGTCTCTGGCTGCCAGCACATGGAGCAGGTGTGTATTCCTGCTGCAGGTCAGGAGGAGGGACTACAAGTGCCACAGCAAATCCATATAGTTATCTGTCATCACCACACTCTTGTCTATTCTACTGCAGTTTTTGTTCCCTTTTTCTCAGGGGAAAATTGACATCAAACATTGTTCTACATCTTCTATAGGTATAGGCTTACCACCATCTCCAAACTGTGCTTTTTGCCATCAATTGATGCAAGTTCAAAGAAATTAACCATAGAAAATAACTCCTTTATTCTAATTTCTTAATAGGTTGTTGGCTCAGTTGGATGAAACAGAAAAGGCTTTTGATCAGTTTTGGACCAAGCATCACCTGAAACTAGAACAATGCTTGCAGCTTCGACACTTTGAACATGATTTTAGAGAAGTAAGTCATTGGCTGGTCGTATCTAGCATTCGGCAGATATGGTCAAACCTTGCCCTTACTTCAAGTAAAACGGCATTCTAAAAAAGAGGTGGGGAGAGGAGCCATTCATTATAAAATAAAATGCATACTCAAAAGTGAAATTCTTGGTATTAATCTAATCTTTTACAACATTTCAGTAAAGCACAGTGGAGAAAGTGCCAGCCATTTAAGCCAAGATGTGAAACACAAACTTCGTGATAAATCATTGTGTGCTTATGTGTGATGTTAGCAAGTATCATTTCTTGTGTGATGCTAAGCACACAACCCTACTAAATCAGTGGAAAACAAAAATGGAAAGCCCAGCCCCGAATGCAAAGGATGGAATAATACAGTAAGACAGATTGCAGAGTCATAGATCTTCAGAACTGTTTGGGCCTAAATAAATCTAAAAAATGGGGGCGACTCTTTAGATAATTACTTGCTTGGTTCCTCATTCTTCAGTTGTACCACTTTGAAAGGAATTGAAATACTAAATTTGAGATGTGGACTCCTGTAAAAGATGGAAGTGAATGTTTAGAAGTCATAGATTTGTTATAATTTTGAGTGTCTTGTGATGTGTATGCTTTGTTGTTCTTTTTTTTTTTTTTTTTTTACTTTTGTTTTAGGTAAAATTAACATTGGATAATCTCATGGAAGCACAAGCAGGCTTTTCTGACGTTGGAGACAGTGTGACTCGAGTAGAACACCTCCTAAGGGAACAGAAACAACTGGAAGAAAAAGGACAGGTTTGTGTTCAATATAGTATTCTAGCATTCAGACATGATTATCTAGATGTTTTTCTGTCACTATCCTTACATCATACTTACACTCTTTTCATGGGTCACTATTTCTAATTGCAAAATTCAGATCCTAATTTCCAGAATCCGAGGTTGTTCAAATCCAGTAGTTGTAAACAACACTGTGCTCAGATGAAGCAAATAACCAACAATAGCTGATGTAGTTTGAATTTTTTCTATGAAATGGAAGAAGTCCATTTGTATTTAAAAGTATTCAGCAAGGAGCTGATAACTAATAGCTGAGGAGAGAAAATATTTCAGTACCACAAATTGTTTAAACTCATTCTGATTGACTTTGCCCTGGAAAAGGCTAGGAAACTTCACATTTATGAGCTGTGGTTTAAAAAGTTGCCACACATGCCTGTTACGTTCTGCTCCTCTGTGAAGATGCCCGCTCCTCAGAGAATTTGTAATCCAAAGCTCTTCAGATCCGAGCTCAGCCCACACAGCCTGACATAATGTGACTCATCGTAGGGCTTCGCTCTGGTTCATCCTCTGTACTGTGCTGCTTTACTAACTCTCAACTTGGATTAAGCATGCGATGGAATATTTTTGTGTAGATGTATGCTCTGTATGATTTTAAGGCTGTTTAGGTACTCATCTCTGAATGCAGACTGTGGAGGCAGAATGAACAGTAGAAAAATAATGCTAATGATTAAATTGGTCTTCAGTGCAAATTTGAAAACACATCAGCTACTTGAATATCCCAAACTGTTAGCTCCAGGCTACAGCATGAGTTACAGAGGTGCATTGCCTTTACCTACACATCTTTTGAGATGTAACTATGAATTGATTCTCTTTAATTTAACAGGAACCTTTGGAGAAAGCCCAGACTCTAGCTCTCCATGGAGAACAGCTCATCCAAAACAACCATTATGCAGTTGACTCCATTAGACCAAAGTGTGTTGAACTCAGGCGTATTTGTGATGACTTTACTAATGAGACCAAGAAGAAGTACGATATTTTGGGGAAGTCTCTTGAGCTGCACAAGCAATTAGATAAGGTGAGTGAGTCTTTTTAGAGTACGGCCCTACTGAAGGCTCTACTGAAAATAAATCTTTTTATAAGCAACTTAGCATTTACTTTATAAGCACTTACTTTATAAGCAACTTAGATGAAGAGGACAAAGATTGACTCTTTTTTTCTCTCCATTTCATTCAGAAACCATTGCTATAAAAACCATAACAGATGCTTCCTATAATTATTGTCTTAAGATCACTGAAGTATGAAACTAAAAAAGAATGGAGATAGAGCTAAATTTGAAATGAGAAACAAACACATTCTGATGCTGAAAAATAAATAGCTTACTGCTTGTTCTTTTGTTTTTCAGTTTATAAAATCCATCTGGAATAGAAAGCTAAATGCTCTGAGAATGTCTGCATGCTAATTCCTTAAAGGAATTACCAGAAATTATTCTGAAAACCTGCTTTGGAGTATTTTTAACTGAGTTTAATGGGCCTGTGAAGTTTTAGAGAATTTTTATATAGCTTAAATATTTATTTTTGGGTTTGGATAATTGTGTAATTAAACACTGAAATGAGGTTGTACAGCAGAAAGATTTGATTTGCAGCAACTACAGTAGCATTCTTATTGCTCAGAATATTATTTTGTTTTACTGAGCCATCTACCCCATGAGAGGTGAATTTAATTTGCTCGTGTTCTATGTCTCTTAGGTGGGATGTGTTGTGGACAGGACCTGCTGCATGTGAGGAAGCAACATTAATTCCCTTTAGTGATGCATTAGTGCCAATCTGTATTTCATGGGGTGGTAGAAATGGCACTTCTCAACATGGGCGTTCAGTAACAATGGAGTCCCTACTGTCCCATTTTTCTTTAAAGGCAAGCCAATGGTGTGAAGCTGGAATCTACCTCTTAGCTTCCCAAGCTGTGGACAAGTGCCAGTCACAAGAGGGAGCTGAAACTGCACTCGTTGAAATAGAGAAGTTCTTGGCAACAGCAAAGGAGCATCAACTCTCTAACCCAAAGGAGTTCTACAATCAGTTTGACACGATTCTCACACCCGAAATAAAGGTAGAACACCTCAAACATGTATGCACTCACAAAACAGTGATTGTCTTGCTCATGAGAGACTATTGGGCCCTATATGAGTCTGCATAAATGTGCCTCTTTCCCCACAGCAAAAGGGCACAGAGGTGAGCACTTGGGACGAGAGGTTTTACTCATATGAGCAGTTCTAGAATAACACATACTTCTTCAGGGTAGTTGCAGAAAATTCCATGACTCACGATGCCCTACTTGGTGAAACAGATCTATGCAAATTACGTGGGCTGGGTTGCATTATCTTTAGCTCTAATACACTGAGTCTGACTAACCCAAGTCTCATCTTATTTTGTTTAGACCAGCACTTACAATCATCTTTTCTTTGCCTAGGCCAATGCCCAAAGGATTTTACAAAAACTAGAAGATGTACAAGAAATGTTTGACAAGAGGCAAGTGAGTCTGAAGAAGCTAGCAGCCAAACAGACCCGACCAGTACAACCTGTTGCCCCACATCCTGAATCTTCCCCGAAACGAGCATCACCAAAAACTACCAGACCAGCAGGAGTAGGTGGGCCATTAATATCTGCATTCAGATACTCAGCAGTGTCAGGGCTCTTGTTATGTATGGTCATGCTTAACTTTTTTCATCAGAATGAAAACTTGCACCTGATGTTCAGTGTCAGCTTTGTAGGCCCAGAATTTAAAAATGAATGTGAAGTAATTTATCACTGCAAGCACACAAACAAGGATGATTTAAAAAAAAAGAAAAAAATCAGGCTCTTCTTCTTAGGTCTCATCTACAGAACACTTTTCTGTACACTTTCTTACTGTCATAGATTGCTAATCCTTCACTGAAAATGCAAACCAGGTAACTCATTGCAAGTATGTGAAGTAAGCATGAAAATATCTTTTACAATGAACATACAGTAACATTGTTTTATCCTCTGCATAACCATTTTTTCACTTTCTAATGCAGTTCTTTAGTAATTTGCTTTTAGAACATTGCTTCTTCTTGGAACTTACAGAAAGTTTCCTGTTTTGAGGTTAGCGTGTGCCTTTAACCAAGGGCTTTTTAAGAGGGAATCTTCTACTGGAGTACTGATTGGTTAGAATAACTTCACAGAGTCTATGGCTTTTTAAGCCCCATGGTAAAGTAACCATTTGACAGTTAAAGTGCCATGAGTAGTATACATATAGTGTTTACTGGCATCCTTTGGGACTTATCCAATGGTCCATTACAAAGCATCATTCTTTGAATTTGCTCCGTCCCTAGAATGCCAAAGCACTTTGCAAACTCTGTGCAGCTGGTAAGTATTTTCACCTCTCTTTTGCAGAAAGAAAATTGAAGCTTAAATAAAGCAACTGATTCACCAAGGGGCTTCACAGCCTGAGTCTGAGATGTGGCTGAGAATAGAAATGAGGACACTGAGTCCTACTCCAAGCCTTGAAAATGAGGCTGTGATATTCTGTTCTTCTTGAAGCTACCCTCCATTGGGATTTCCTCTGTGCCCCTTCTTCACATTCATGGGAGCAACAGAGTCAGCATTTCTATATGGGTAGAATTTATAGAGAATCATCATGAGAGGCTAACAGCAACTTTTTGAGTCAGTTATTGTAACTCTTTGTTATTTGTCACGTGGAACGTGCCTGAACATCTCTAAAAACTTGCAAAATAGAATATGCTAACAGGAAACAACCATACTCCTAGGCTCAATAAATAGAAAGGCAGGCAAAGACAATAAAATGTAGTCAACAGAAATAGAAAGCATGAAAGAGAGGCTTTTGTCCCTAGGCAGCAGATATAACAATGCCACAGCAGAACTGCAATAGTTGTCTGTGAACGGAAGGAAGTTGTATTCATTCCAGAATACATTTTGTTTAGTTTAGTTTTGTTTTTACTTGCTGACTCTCTATTTCCCTAACAAGGAGTGGTAGGGAAAATTCAACCCAGTTCAGTGTACTGATGGAAAAAAATCTTAAAAGATATGAATGCTTAAAGTAGTCTGATAATACAGCTGTGGCACATTTCATTTTACCTGTGCATATGTGTAGGTGACACAGGGAGAGCTGATATGAGAAAAAGGGCAGACTTCTATCAGGGAGATGACTGTGACAGTTTCTTGTAATGATAGCCTTCTGTTCTCTGGTGACTATTGGTAGAGTCTTAGCTTAAGGAAGATCCACAGAAAGGCAGCTCAGAGCTGCACTCTAAACTCTCCCTCAACCCAGATTGCCCCCAGTGCTTTTCTATGGGACTGGAAATTCTGAGGCAAAACTTTAAATTCTTCTCATTTTGATTTTGCAAATGAACTTGAGAATTTTACAGACCTGTTCAGTACTGGAAAACTGGTGTCGGAATGAAGGTGCTCAACAACTTTAAAAAGTCTGTACCAGGTCGACTTGGTGCTAGTTTTATCTATGAGAATATGCTTAAATATTATTCATAGAGCAACCTAAAAAAGACAGAAAATAGTTCTTCTGACACTTTTATATGAAATGCCTTGAAATTTTTTAGCAGTATGTATGACATGTAACTTCAAGAAAATGTCCGAGCGTTACCAACAGAAGCCTGCATGAATGCAGCTAACGGCTAAACTTGGCCCTTTCTGTGTTGGAAGGAAAGATGTGGCATTCAGAGAAAGGCTTTTCTGACAGCATCATTTTGGCTACTTGTTTGTGGACTGTGTTTCTTTACAAAGTTCCTTAGGGGAGTGAATTGGAACGGGTTCACAAAGTCACACCATGCAGACTAATGCTGCCAGTAGGTTGTCAGGCACAGTGGGATGTGCCACAAAGCATCAAAGATAGTATCACCGAATCATAGAGTGGTTTGGGTTGGAAGGGACCTTTAAGGTCAACTGTAATATAAATTATTAGGGTTGGCTGTACTTAGCATTTCTCTGTTTTCATTCATTTTTACTTCTTCCAATTTTCAATTCTTTGGAATGAAATTTTCCTAAAGCCTCTCTTATTCAGCCTGACATTTTCTTGTCTTGAAAAATGCAATAGAAATGGTTCAGCTATCTCAGTGAAGAAGGCTAAAACCTCCTTTATTTTAGTTACCTTTTGGCCAAAGCTGAAACATTGCAGTGTCAGTTGATTTTGTTCCTTCTTTTGGATTTAGCAGAGTTTTATGCACTTGGGAAAAAAAAAAAAACAACTTCTCAGCTCATACATGCTCATTACAGATGAACTTGCTGCAGTTCAGCTCATTTCCTTTGTTGTCAGCCAAAATGTATGGCACTCAAAGATCAAATATGTTTCTTTTCCTTCTGCAGTGCTTGTTTCCTTGGAGTACCATCTTGTTGCAACTTCTTGTTGCAAGTTCTTACAGTGTATTTAGTCACATACCTAGTGGGAGCAAAGCAGAGAACCGAAAACTGTCACTGTAGGTTGGATTTTTTTCATTTGTGACCATTTTCCGCTGCTTTTACTCTCTCTGACATGAGAGGGAGAGAAGCTGGTGCAGTAAATGTAAAGGTTCCAATCCTGATAAAAACTCATGTGGGTGTTAGCCTAGTAAAAACAAAACCACCAAATTTTACTAATGCCACTACATGAAAAGATCTATTGAAAGGACAGTGACAGACTGAAATCAGAATTGCTGGGCAGGGGATTTGCTCTTGAACATATTAAATGACATATAATCTTTAATAATGTGCAAGTTCCATTTTAAAAATGTCAAGTTGGTCTTCCAGATTAGTCTGATCTCCTTTGATCTTCAGCTATAGCACTCAGATCTCAGTGTAGTTGATAACAGTCTGTTATCTCTGAGAAATGCTGTGAAAAAAACTTAGTGGATATTTGTGAAGCATACGAGTTGTAAAAAGGACTATTCTAAAAAATATGCACATGTATTTTCAGAGCAGAGACTGATATATTGCATGGACAGTAAGGCTCTGGGTCCCCACTGAGAAATGCAGATAAACTGGAACACTGAGGCACATTAATTCAGTGTTCTACACACTGAGTGAGGCAAGGATCCTTAGGGAGGGAGAGAGAAAATAATATATGTGCAAAATACTCATCAATGGTTGGACCAAGATGCCTTCGCAAAAAAAGGGCAAAATTAGGGTTGCATGTGTTGCTTTACTTCTGGCATCTTTTCTAAATGCTATAAAATATTCACCCAGGGATTTCTCGTGTGCAGCATAAATGTTAAGTACAGGAGCAGAGAAGTCAAAATTTCTGTTAGCTCATTAAGCAAAGAATATCATTTGCAGCAGCACATCACACATGCAAAATCCATGACTCACCCTTACAGGCATATTAGAAGGCCAAATTGGAACATGAAATTCATGTGGAGGGAACACAGCTGGAGGCTTTTTAGTCTTTCAAATAATAAAAACTAAACTGGTTCCACCCCATTTAAATGTGTGTGACTGCTCATTGGATCCCTTCCAGCATTCCTCACAGTCACTAATGCGTAACACTCACTAACTAATAACATCTGGATAGAGGATTAAAGGAGAATATCTTTCAAGAGTCTGGGGATGGGTACAGGGGAAATGAAGCAGCAGGGAGATTAGCTGACTCAGAAAAGATGATGAATGTGACTTTCGTTAATGGTTCTTGGGAAACTATTCTACAGTTTAAGATATCTCTATAAAAGAGAAGATGCTTTCCATTTTGTGGCTGAAAGGCTGCTATCACATTGGGCCAAGTCTGAGGAAACTGAGCAGCCGGTCTCCTTACAGAATAACATTCCACTTGCCTCGCTCTATGCTTCCTAGATGGGCAGATTTTCAAGAGGCTCAACAGCAATGTTGCTAGAGCAGAGAAGCAGAGATTATATTGCCTAAGAATGGAAAAAAGTTTCTGTATCAAGCCATTTGATGATGAATCTTAGATGCTTTGGCAATTCTTTATTTGCCTTAGCATGCTGTTTTGTCATCACCAGCATAGAAAACCACCAGTAAATCATTTCTGTGCAACAGCACATGCTGCAAGCCCCCATGAACAGTTTGGCAGAGCAGTCATTTCCATGACTGTTCTTACTGAAAGATTTTGATTCTGCTGTGGGTGATCAGCGAGAATGCGCGAACTCTTCTACTGAAGAAAAAGATGGGGAAGCATGTGACTGGGAAATTCACACAACCTGAATTTAAAGCACAGTACTTTGAACACTTAGAAGTGTTGTCTACATGTCATAAGCCTTGACTGCATGATTTGTCTCTTGCTACCTGATGAGTTGCATTTGTTCTAACAGGAACAGCAACTCCTTATTTATCATGTAACTTGTTCATAAAAAACAAGCAGTATCAAAGGCCCCACAAGAGAAGCAAAGCAGTCCACCAGATGAACCAAAGCAATAGACCTAAAACCTGTATTATTATAAATAGCCTTGCAACAAAAATTTAACTCTATGTACAATGCTCCTTAACAATATTTTCTATTAAAGCAGCAAACAGTTTAAAATATTACCCAGTTCAAAATTAGAATTTTCAACCTAATGTCCAGGGGAGTACAGTAAAGCAATAAAATGAAAACATCTTGCCAACATGCAGACCTTAGATTGCGCACTTGTTCCTGTGCCTCTGTTCTTCCTGTAGATCGCTGTGCTCTTTTATGTTTCTGTGACTTTGAAACAGCCAACTGAACTGAATCTTAAAAGGGAATTTCCCTTATTAAACATTTCTAGTTTTGCAGCAATTACTGCAATAGTAATTGGCTGCTATTTGGGCTGCTTCTTTCTAAATTATTCTAAAAACTACTTAAATATAATGACATGAAGCACTCTCTGGCTGTAGACCGAACAACGATGTAAACATGCTCTGATGCATAACCAAAACCAGATTGCTTCCTGTTTTCATTTCTGGGTCAAATTAAAAGAGGGTACTCTTTGCTGTGTCAGATTGCCTCCCCTAAAATACCAACGGCTACATCTGATTTTTTCTCCATTCTTCCTTCTGAAATGTATCATATTGATGAAGCCATGACTAAGCTAATTGCTGACCTGAGCAATTTGCTGGATCAAGGAGCATCTTTTTAAATATCTTTTTATCTTTTTTTTTTTTTTAATCACTCTTTTTAATAGCAATCCACAATTTCTCCCAGAGAAAGAGTGAAAGTAATTATAGCCCAGTTTCATGAACAAAATATTACTAGATGCATTTGAAAACACCAGCTTTTGATTCTGGAAAAGTTCGTATTGAGTTAGAAAGTTTTTTGAGAATAAAACCAAAGAGACTTTGTCTCAGAACTGCAGTGTTTTTGTTCTTTGCTGCCTGACCCAGTGACTTTCATCATTTCACCTGGTATTTGTATTTTCACGTATTTGTTTTTACCGTTATGCGCATGCTTGCCTGTATCAGTTCAGCAACTAAGAGGAGGGAGCCCCCTTTGCCTTGTGCTTACATAATACACATTGTGTACTTACTATAAATTTAGTACAACTGAAGATACAAATTGTAACTGAGAAATTATTTTCTATTCAATTTGAATATACAGTCGTCCATCTCCTGGTTCATTCTCACACTTTTCCTTGGATAGCAGTCTCAGATGAGAGGCTCATTTGTTAAGGATGATTTTCTAGTAGCGTTGGACAACTTGCTGTGAACAAATTTTCAGAGCCTGCAAGGCCAAACAAACCTGACACGACAGCGTAGCCTGAAATCATTTCCTCAGATTCACTGTCACTGCATACAAGATCAGGGTGACTTGCTGAATACTTGCATATTTACTCTTTTCAGGATCACTCATGTTATGAAACTCTGTGAGAAACAGTTTGACTTTATCAAACTGTTACCAAAACAAAAACGTGCTTTCTTTGCAAAATCTAACAGGTAGCAAACCGTGAGCTTAAAAACTATCAGAGTGAAAAATATCCAACCACTGATGCAGTTGGCTAAAATTTACTTGTGCTACTTTAAGGATGGTTGCCCAGGAAGAAGCCAAACTGCAGCAGTCATTACAGCATTGAACATTACAGCCAATCTGAGACACACTGGAGCACCAAACACCACAGCCCATTCCCTGATGCCAGCTGCTCCTTCACCACTGCAACTGCAATTCTATTCTCTAAGTCACATACCAGCTGTCAGTGAAGTAAAAGGAGCACTGCTCACTGCTTTTACTTGGAAGTAGGATTTCAACATTTAGCACAAGTCTTCTAACATTATTTTCTTTTTGACTCTTTCAGCTACCAACAGGAGGTCTGCAGAAATCACTTGTCCTCCCAAGTCCATCTCTGAGGCAGAGTTATCAAAAAAGAAAAGCATTAAGAAGACCAAAGGTGGAATTAAGGTAGGAGTCTCCAAGTTCTCGGGACACGCCGAACTGCAAGAGAATTCAAAACAATGTAAACATGTATTTACAAGTTAATTCTCTGCAGAGCCCTTTTTACACTTCATATTGCACTTTTAAAAGTTACTCTGATGCCAGCATTAAGATTTCTGCTCATGTATGTAGTGTTGATTGTTATAATAGTTTATTAATGGATTACATCATCATCAAAATAGGTAAATAATTTATTTATATGGAATAAATACAGGGCACTATTAACTTCTACAAGCAGCTCTTCAAGTGCTTAAGAACTTAAAGATTGCAATGGAGTTTAGATTATCCACCAGCTCACTGCTTGATTTGTTTCACTGAATTAAACTATTCTGCCTTTGCAGAAGCCCAAATAGTACTTAGCTCTAAAGCTACAGACAAAAAGAGGGAAAACCTGCTTAAAATTTGCCTGGAACACCCTTGAAATGTTTCAACTCTGTAAGACTGGACAAGGAAGTACATTCATATGTATTAAAATTGTATGCAAAGCTTCAGTTCATCACAATACAGGGCCAGTGTTTGCACACAAGCACAGTGCTGAGCATTTGCGGTATAATATAATAGCATTATCAAAACAACGACAGATTTCTCAGAGATACAATACAAGATAGATTTCCCAGACTTCTCTGGTTGGCACTGTTCAAAAGACTTTAAAAATAATGTCTTCATCGTTGGCTTCAGGCAGGAGAAAAAAAGCCAAAACCAACACAATATTTCAGAGCCTAAGGAGCAGGCCTTTATGCCTATGAGTATCTACCTAAGGATATAAATTCACTTCTTATACTGAAAGAACCCAAGAATAACTTTGCATGGAGTTAAGAATACCCCTAATGCCAACAGAATTGGAAAACTAGAGACGGAAGTTACTTTTTATATATAACTTGCACATCTAAGCAAATTATTCTAACTTATCAAGTGACCCACTACACTGGTTTTGTACTACATTGGCTTGTAAAGAATTAAAATTCTCTAAATAGAAGTATGAGCAACTAAGTATTTTTGCATCGTATGTGCTTTTTGTTCAGATTGAAGTGATGCACGAAGCGAGTCAAGGGGGATCGAGCAGAGTCTTGGTTATGAGTGAAAGCGATGAGAACCTGTCGACGAGGAGGAGGTAAGGCAGCACACGGCGCTCACTGCGTGACGGCAGTCATTAGACTGAGGCTTGCAGATGCCATTATCCAATTATTAACATCATCTCACTGTGTTCAAAAAACTCACACTTGACTGTATGCCTCTGAGAAGCTTTTTTTTTTTAATTTAATTTAACCGATCATCTTCTAGTCTCACTTTCTAGTAACTCTTGGGAAAGATTAATTATGCCATCTAAAATACCAATACTTTAGTTATTTAGTTTTACAAGTAGTGTCAAGCAAACACAGTTCTAGTTGAATGCACTGTCTCTAGGCCAAAGAAACAGAATTTGAAACAAAAAAAACCCTGCAGCAAAGCTGCAAACCAAACCCTACCGATTCCATTTCCTTTGTTTTCTTCATGGTAACAGAAATAACCTTTTCTTACACTGTGCCTCTGTTTCACACAGGTATACACTTATGTTGTTTGATACGAGAGCACGAGCTTGTAATGCTATGCAAATCCGAGGCATACAAAAATGAAACTTACTGCAATCTGAACTTACAGCAGACTCAAAGTATTTTCATAGGGCATAACAATTACGACTACCACTGGTCACCAAACTATCAGCTAGTTCTCAGAAGGTACAAAATGTGTTATCTATCAAAATAAGGTCTATTTCAAATCACATCTCTAAGGTAATGATTGTCTAAAGAGAAGGCACGAATGTGTAAGTTCACATTAAGAATTGGCTAAGCTTCTAATATTTTGTAGAATTTCAGATTCATAAACCCACTAAACAAATTCTTAAATTGTCTCCTTTCTTGGGAACCTCCATTTCACCTTTTGTTCCCTAAAAGGTTTGGAGGTTTAGCGTAAGGTCAGTCAACAAAAAGAAAACACAAAAATCCCCACATGGTCCCCTGGAAGGACACTCCCTCATTGTCCTCAGAATAGCATCTCAGCATCAGAGCCAAGCGCATCGGTTACAAAGAAAGCAACAAGAAATTTCTCTTTTTTTTTTAAAAAAAAAAGGAAACAAGTCTGTTTATTCAAATCAGATTTTACAAAACAATTGTCTTTTTGTGGTACAGAGCAAAGTTTAAGAATAAATATTGAATACTTTGTATAAAAATTAGTAATATCAAAGGGAAATTGATGCAAATCAAACAAACAGGTAAAAACAATTTTAGCATTAAACACGCTGTGCAACAATGTCAAACTCTTAATGAGGCATGACCATTCAGGCTGATACAGTTTTGCTTGTAGAAGTAAAACCTGACAGCCCTGCATTGGAGCACCAAGATGATTATTACAAGAGGTTCTAGTTAAAGGTGTACAAATGTTAAGTTGGTGTTTTGAACCAGAAAGTTGGGTTTCGTTGTGTTTTTCTTCTTTTTTTTTTTTTTTAAAGAAGTGCATTCATAGTTTTCTTTTTATTCATAAGCAGCTTCTTTTTTCACTGCAGCAAACAAAAATGCAAACTACAAACACCAAGGCCCTTTTAAGAAACAACCCAAACAAAATTTAAATTAGCCACAAAACAACATATTTCAATGGTCAAAAGTGAGTTTCAAATAACAGCAAGCTATATTTAAGTAGTGTTTTAGATGTTACCTAGGTCACTACAGAAGTTTAAGATACTTACAACTTGGACTTTGCTTGTATGAGTGAAAACAAACCCTAATGCACACTTACGCCAGAAAAATTGTAGTCTTAATAGAAGACTTTGGTTGTGTATAAATTTCAAGACCCTCTTTCCCCTGAAGTGAATGGGGAGGCATTTCCAGTTGTGCCATTTTGCTGTGCATCTTGTTGAGTTAAATGGCCTGCAACAGGTCCTAGATCTGATGAAGAAGTTTTCCTTCAAGTACTGAACACATCTGTGTGCATTCCCCCCACCGGCACCTACCCAGGGCCAGCAGGTTACAGATCGAGGTTTGTTGTCTTGTTTTCTTAAAAAGAAAAAAAAAAAAAAGAAAAAATCCTCAGGTTGCAATCAGTTTGTAGGGAAGAACATGAACTAGGTTTGTTTTTCTAGAATACAGCTGTTGCAGTCCAATTATTTTAATACTGATAAATGAGTTTGTGATCTATACATACCTAACATTTTGTCCAGTTAGGATAATTATTTTCCTCTTGGAAAACCAATTGTGAAGTTACATATTCACTTCAATCTAGTAGCTACTTATCCATCTGAAATGGCAGTTTCAGGAACAGTCAGCAAGCTGCTGCTTTTTTTTTTTTTTTAATCAGTGCTAGCTATTAGCATTCAAATACCATTAGCATTCAAATCATTAAAACTGCAGCACAGCTCACAGAACAGCAGCAGTGATTTAAACAATTTACTACTTACAGCTTAAAACTGCCATGCCACACACAACTCTTCTAAAGTGAAGTTAGAAGACATTAAATGCTTCACTGCTCCACACAGCAGCAACAAACTTCAGGCAGAGGAGAAAAGGCCAGCTTTAGACATCCCAGAAAGCAAGGAGCATTGCTTCCATAGGCAGTACATTATCAGCAGATCCCATGACTGTGACAGATCGCTGGTACCCCGAAGTTCTTGGGTTGCATGTTCCTGCTTGCTGATAAACTTGTCTCATTCAATCTTTCAGAAGTAGTTTTTAATGACATTACCTACACTAACTTGCTCCAGTATTGAATCAGTTCACAAGCAATATCTGACTGCCCTTTGCATAGCCTGTGCCTGCTCCAGGAAGAGCTACCACAACCAAGTTAGCCGTCCTGTGAGACTGTAAAGACACCATTAGTACGTTATACAAGAAAAGACTGCAGACATCTCAGAACCACTTTTTTTTTTTTGTTTTTTTTTTTTTTTTTTTTGAACAACATTTAGATGGCACCACAATACAACTCAACACCCAGAATTTCAGCACTACCTAGATTTACAATGCACAGGTATTTGGTTCTTCCTGCATGTGATATTAACAGTTAGCTCTATTCAAGAGACAGGCTTCTGGGGACAGAGACTACCATGACATTGTACAGAGTCTTTTCTCTTCAGGAAAAGGCTTGAGAAATGTTTTAGTGATTGTGATTTTGTGTATTGAGTTTCTGTGGATCACCATCTGCCTAACCTTTCACCATGACATCGAACCTTTGTGCAGAAAACATTCTCCTTATTTAACAAATGCTAAACATGAAACTTTGCTCTTTAAAATCACTAACTGCTTCAAATTGGCTATAGATAACACTCTCAAGGAACACAACTATGACTTTCTCTTGCTTTTCACCTTTAGGACTATGAACAAAAGAAAACAGAACCACTGTTAGAAGACCAGTCTTAAATGCACTTAGTCTATTGTCTTATTAAAGACTGGATTGTTTTAATATACAGCTTAACTTTTCAGAAGACAGAGCTTTGACTTAAACACTAGATTTTCATCCTTTCCAGTTCACTTCTGATCTAAAGGGAGCTCATTTGCTGCTTTGAAGAAGCAAGTTAAAGGGCACTCAGACACTGTTTCCTTACTTCAGAGATAGAGGGGGCTTTGAGAAAAAGACTGTAGCAGGTCTACACTTCCTGTACTTCGTCAGTTGTGCAGGTCCAGGCATACTTTCCATAAAGCATTCAAAAATACTGAATATATGTAACCAATTTACATTGCCTTGAACTACTAAACTGAGTCACAAGTTCTCCTTCCTCTCGTTTTGAAAGGTCTACTTCATTTTCATGCAGTAGACTTTTTTAAAAAGTCACATGCCTTAGCTTTTTAAAAAGAAAAAAAAAACCTTAGGACTTGCTAACAAATTCAAAATAAGTGATATTTTCACCAACCATTTCAAAGTCTAGAAGTCCATTATAGTTCATTTAATGACCATATAATTCAGATTCTCATCCTGTGAAGGGTGTAAAAAAAATAATAGTAATAAAGCAGGCTACAATGTAGAAAGTTGTGGTACAATAGGAGAGCTATTCCAATAACAGTTTCTGAACAGGACTTGGCACCATCCTCCCACTACCCTGCTTCATTTCCTATCCCACCCCTCCCAAGCCCACCCCAGCTATTCACATTTACGTATATTTTGAATAAACAGCAAAAAAGAGTTGTTGCTCTGTTTTGGCTCAGTGGATCTTCAACAGATATTCAAGTATTAGGAAAATGCAGCTGAACAAGGGTATGTGTTCTCATAATACAGCTTACAGAGAAGCATAATATTAGCTATTCTGCAGTATATTCTACTCCAGAGCCCCGAGGAAAGCTTTTTAACTTTGGGATCGGTAGCCTGCTTCCAGAGATAGTGAAGGTCATCCACGTGTCCATGAGATGTCATCATTCTGTTGTAAATGCAGGGATGATATGGAGCCTTTCCTTCCCCAGAAAAAAAGGCATGGTACTGTGGTACAATTCCCATTTTGTTGGCACAGAGGCCCATGAAGACATCATCTATATAAAGACTGGTATTGAGAGTCAATGAAGCCTCATATACTTTAGCTGCTACATCACTTGATATTACATACGCAGCTCCTGCTGTGTAGTCAGGATACGAGGGCCACTGGTACATTTCATATGGAACATAGTATTTGCTAGTCTTATCTCTTACGGGAGGGGATCCACGATGGACACGGCCAATCCAGAGATCCTGAACACCCATTTGTGCTAGACTTTGGAGATAAGCAACAAGATTTGGCATATGGATAAATATATCATCATCTGCAGACATAATAAACCTGGCATGAGGACAGTAGGCATTTACCCAGCTGAACTGTAGAAGTAATTTAGTAGTAAGGTTGTGAAAAGTATCCAAGAAATCTTGCTGAATCAAATCGCTGTATTTCTGGTCTTCCAGATAAAGGTCTCTTTGCCGCAAATGATCTGTTGGTTGTCCCAAAGCAAAAAGGGTTTTAATGTTGGCATTAAGTTTAGAACGAACATATTTCTCATTACCCCAAGTCTGTCGAATTGCATCCCTCCGATGACGGTTTTCAGGAGAAGACTTCACAAACAACAGGAGAAGGACATCCTGCTGTTGACATTTCTCCCTGTGGTTCATCAAGTACTGGTAGCTTGCTACTCTGTCCATGTTATCCCTACTGATGGACAGGCTGTCATTCACAAAATTGTAGCTGTTTATGAGGTATCTGTATGAATAGGACTTCATATGGCTTACAAAGCGATTATCAAATGGTCCCCAGAAAATCATGACACACAGTATGAAGCAAGTGGCAAATATCTGCAAGAACTGGCATTTTCTGACTCTTCTAGGACTAACAAACATTCTGATGCAGTTCTTGTAATTCTTATTCCTGTTTAGGATCAGAATTATTTTTGTCTTCTCTGTTGTGTTTATAAAGAGTGCTTGCAGTTTACTTTGAGAGCACAGTGTCAGTCCTTCAGGATAAGTGTCCGCTGTAAGGCATGATGTCTCTCACTCAGTATCACAAACCCAACTTCCTGCACGGTTTTCACAAGTCATCTTTCTCAAAAACATTCTTCTTGTACTGGAAGAGAGCAGACAGCTCTGAAAGACAAGACTTGCAGATGAGTTCTTCCCTTTGTGGCATCTTCAAGTAAACTTACAGTTCCAATTAGATCTTCTCACGTGCTGATTTCATTCACGACAAATCCTAAGAAGGGGAAGAAGTGTTAGCAAGGTGCTGTTACCTCATCGGGTATTGTGTCAGGGAGGAAAGTAGTAGCCTGAGGGAAGTTAGCCTGAAGCCTGGCAGGCGTTAGTGAAGGAGAGCCTGGGGCAGGAAAACCCTCTGCTGCTAACCAACAGATGACAACATTTGGTTCAAATCCTTCAAGCCGCAAGGCAAGCTGCTCACCGTCCAAGCGCTCCGGGTGTCTCCGGCAGCCTCTCACAGGGCAAAGCCCGCCCAGACGCCGTAACGGCTCCCAGGCGCGGGTGGCCGTGCCACCAACGGCCAGAGCCGCGGGGCAGCCCTCGCCCCCTCGCCGCGGGTCCCCCAGGCGGCCCCTCTCCCTCACACCTTCCCTTTCAACCAGGCTCCTGGAGCCGACCGGGGCTGCCTTCCTTCCTCCGGAGAGAGAGCCGCGGGGCCGCCCCAGCGCAGTCCCACCGCGCCCCTCACGGCCGCCCAGAAGGGCAGGGCTGCACCTCCGACCCCGCGCGGCCGCCCTGAGGGCAGGGCAGGAAGGCGCGAGGCGCAGCGCCGGCCCCGGGCAGGGCGCAGGGTGCCTCCAACCAGCTGGAGCCCTGGGACAGGCTCCTGGAGGGGAAGCAGCCCTCTCGTGTCCACAAAAGGACTAAAAAGAGCCAAGAAGAGGCACGCCTCACTGACCCCCGACAGACGCCCTGTGGTTAGCTTGGGACCTGTGATTTTTGGCCGACCGTGCTGACAGAAGCTATCTCCACCCGTCTTGGATTGCCTGTGCACCAGCCGGAGCCGCAAGCCCCTCAGCTAGGCTCTTGACAGTTGCACTTGCAGCACAGAGCTCCCGCAGGACTTCCTCTCTGCCACCAGCTCAGGTTTTGGGGAGGAATCGAAAACAAAGCCACCAAAACCTTCATGCTGTGCAAAACCCAACATTCTGTTCCTGTACCCAGAGCTTAGTCTCTCTGCACAACAGCCCAAAGGAAGCAGCTAGCTGCCCACCCTGTAAGAGCACCATGTTCAGCAGAGCCAGAAGCACACACCAAGGAACGGCACCCTGCTTGTTAAGCACTTACTGCAGGCAAACAGCCTCCAAAGCAAAGAACAGGAGCTTCTGCTGTTATATTAGAAGTTAAAATGCAACACAAGCACTTGGAAAGATTATTTTACCTACTTGACGTCTTGCGACTAGACAGCATTAGGAGAAAGCAAGGAATTAGATGGCAATAGCAGAACTTGGTGCACTTCTGTGCTGTAGTAATCACCACAGGGTAGAGAGCTGATGGCTAAAAACGGAGCCATGGATTGGTACACTGAGGCTTGCAGACTGTAGAGCATAACAGAAAAGCTGTATGGGCAGTCTGCAGAGTAACAATCAGTCAGTCAGCACTTTTTATAGTATTGGTTTAAATCCACTGTATTTTTGGAAACATTATCTTAAACAATGCACCCCAGAGTTATAAGCTCAGCGACTCTGTAGTAGAACATTACTGCAAAGATTGTTGTTTCAGATGAAGCATGGGGATGTAGACAAGAGGCTACAGAAATCCGAGCATTTGACAGCACCTTTGGAGGGGATCAGGTCTAAAAGTATATACTGCTTTCTGAAAATGAAGATCAGTTTTTGTTTTCCCCTCTATCCTGCATGCTTGTTTGAGCTCCTCTTCACAAATCTGCACACTGCATGAAATTGGCCAGCTAACAAATGCTGCAGCACTGCCTCACCCAGTTAAGTTTACAAAAGGTGCCATCAGGTTGTTGACTTCTATACAGCAGATGTCACGGAAATGGAAGAATGAGGGTTGCACCGTAAAGCTTTTGGCAATGCTATCATTGGCACAGACGGGAGGGAAAAAAAAAGAGTGACAGTCTGACTGGTCGCGTTGCCTAGTGCCATCAGAATAGCTTAATAGCAGCTGTCTGACTTCTCAATTAGTCAGCACAAGGCCATGTACCTGTACTTGGCAAGTTCCTGGAAACTTAGCATAATGCCAATCACAAAGTACAGCTTTTATGGAGTGTACTTTGCTAACATTTTAGCAGAAATCTACAATTGCTTGTGTCCCCTGGTAAAAGGACAACAGTCAACAGCACAGAACAATGGGGTTAACTTGAGACTGACCCAACAGCAATAAAATCCCCACAGAAATCCCTGTGCAAATAGCTTTTATTATGGAGCAGATGTGAGGGGACAAGGTGAGCATGGACCGCACTTCCTGCTCTCTAGTATCCTCTCAGTCAGAGGAGCTGGATAGAAAATTAGTTTGTCCTTGAGAAGAAAAAAAAAAAAAAAAAAGCAAGCAAGAAAAAAAACAAACCCAAGGCTTAAAAAAAAACTGACTAAAAGGTTTTAAGCCTAGTCTCATTTGATCTAGTTCAAGGGAATTAAATCAGCATTTAGTAGAGAATTTCTTCGGAGTCCTCCTCAGATTAAGTTCAAACGCAATTATAGTTAAGTAGTGCTGGTAACTTTTAAAGAGGCTTCCCTCCTCTGACAGCCCGTCATCTTCAGAAACAAACAAAAGAAGCCCGTAGACTTGTAGAAGTGATAATGTCAAAGAATCTCATTCAGTGCATGAATTTCATAGCCCTTTGCAATACCCATCCATTGGACTTAGTCATGCCCTCTTCCTCTTAACAAGTGACTCAACCTGTACCCCACAGAAGCTATTTACTGCCAATGGGTTCTCTTAATTCTGAAGGAAGAAAACCAACAATAAAAAAAGCAATTTTCTTCCTAGCAAGAGGAAACAGTAGAACAGATAAAATTATGCTTGGCAGTCTTTTTTTTTTTTTTTTTTTTTTTTTCCTGACTATAATTAAGATGTTTTTGCTTCTTGGTGTGCATTTTCTTACTTGTGGCTTGGAAGCTTTTAGATGTACTTTTGGACTGAAGAGAGACTGGGAGAACCAAGCTCCCACATAGCTCCTGTGGGAAGGGCTGCCTTCCCTTCAGATAGTTCTAACAATAAAAAAAAGTCAGAGCTCTGTGTGTTCTTCCCCCAGTTGCAGGCACTAAAAGCTTTTTCCACCCTGCAGCAATCCTACTCTTCCCAGAGGGGTTTGTATATTTAACCTATTGGCATTACCATAAATAAAAGTGTTCATTTGAATGTAGCAACTGGGGTTGCAGTTCCGTACCTCGCATTCAGTTAATTAATATGCTAGTTCTGCTTTCATCCCAGGAAAGCGTTATGCAATAGGAAGCCTTCATGATGATTTGTGGAGTGCCCACTGTGGACAGCAGGTCTGCAGGGAGCTACCTGAAGTGTCCACAGAAGTATTTGAGAAAGTCAGTATGAAGTTAATTTCGGGATAGAAGTAAAACAAGTTTTTGAAAGCCCGGTGAGGAGACAAGAAAGTAAAGATACAGGCATCTCAGACATGAAACACACACATTCACAGGAAGGACCCAGAGGGAACGCTGATTGCAAGAGTGTGCAAAGCGATCACAGGAGGTTGATTTAGGTCAGGCTGCATCTAGGAGCTAACTTCAGTTTACAACAGGGCTCAGGGGACTTGTTTTGCAGAACTAAGTAACACATCCATTGTTTCTACAGCTTTCAGTTTTACCTAAGGCTACTTCCAGGCTTTATCGTCACTATGGAGAACAAGAAGCCCCCTAGGACAGGCTTTTGGACTGAGCAGGACAGCCCTGTCATGTAAATTACTTCAGATCAGCTTGCTGGATAGTCTTAGTTTACCATTGCAGAGGTGCTTCATCCTGCTGGAATTCTTCAGTCACTGGGATCTCAGCTGCAGCACCACTTCCCCAGCACGTTAGGAATGTGTATAACAAAAGCTGGCAAAAGCCAGAGTGCTGCAGGAAGGTACTTGCTGATCCTTCCTTCCTACATAGCTCATAACCTCCTGCATTGAAAGACAGCACATGCACACATTCTGCAATGAAAATTTCAAGCAGCAAAAAACCAATTAGTTACACCTTGTTCTATACAAAACTCATGAGATATGGAAGTCAGGCATTTAAGGAAAAAGTTCAACAAGGTAACAGTTGAGAAGAATCAGTCTAGTGCAAGAAAGATGTATGAAAAGGATAGAAAGACAAGTGACGAACTTTGTGTAATAAGAAACATAAGTGAAGAAATGACTGAAGCTTGGTTTCAAGACCATTTAATCCATCACCTGCAATTCCACATGCAAGCTTTGGCTGCGCATTTCAGTTTGCCTGCAATTTGCAGTGAGGGTTTCAATTTCCCGGCACAGTAGAATCAGCATTCTTAAATGCTGACGTGTGCACTGAGACTCTCTCAAGTCAAACACAGGCCTGATTTTCAGAAGGTGGGCATCAGCATCTTCCTAAGCTTGAACTTCTTAAATGATTCTGTGGTTGCTCAGTCAAGAAGGATCCCTCTATTAGAAAAAAGGCACCACATTACAGCAGTATCTCTTGGGCAACTTCTTGTCATGAAAAGCCTATGGCAGCATGTAGAAAAGTGACAGACATTGAAAGCTGCAACCACTTGGTGCTTCTCACTTGGCACCTAATGTTTTTGTGTGTTCTTTGGCAGAGAAATTCAAAGGATGGAAAAACATCAGATGGCAGCTGATTAACACATTTCAGCTTCTTCAGGGTTGGAAGCAGAAGAACAGGCTGTAAATGCCAAGGACTGCTAGGAAACAGCAGAGGTTTAGTGCCTGCAGACATTTTGCACTCGCCACACAAACTGGGTAGAAAAGATAAGAATTAGTTGTTTCCTTAAAAGTGGAGCAGCAAGCTTCCCAGCTGCTACAGACAAACCTAGGCAGAGGCATCTGCCAGAATCTAGATAGAGGTTTTAGAGGTTTGCCCCTCTTCTCCAGTGGTTTTCAGCAGAAGTTTCCTAGAACTTATGCAGATAGCAGGATAGGACCACTCCTTTCAAGCACCAGACTACACTGATTTCAACTGTTTTCAGTTGCTTTAACCTGCTAGAGCCAATATAGACTTCCCCAGACAAGCTAGACAGGACTTCTATCTTCCAGAATAAAAGCCTACAAAATACAAA